ATGTAATATAATATATTAAACTTAATGCCTTATTGACCAAAGTCTTAAAACTAGTTACAGATGTAATTGTTAAAAATTACGTCTTAAATTCAACTATGAATTGTTTGAATGTTATAAAGTTTATGAAAAACTTTTTCATTGGCAAATCTTATCACTGTCTATTAAATATTTACATATATTATAACCGTTAATAATAGGGGTTTAAAAATTTAAAAGCATTCATAATATTGATAAACCAAAAAGACTGGATTTCATTTTAAAACAGTGTTCAATTTTTATTTCTTCCAATAATAATCTCGACAATAGTATAAAATAATAATTGTGCGATTTATCATAATAAATCATTTGTACTGCCCGACATGCTATTATTAATATTCATCGAAACATTTTTAGATAAAGACAAATAAGTTCAATCTAAAGGACCCCTTGATAATATTTTATTAAATCATAGTAAATTAAGGAGCACCAGAGCACCAGCTTCTGAAGCGCTATTTTCCATCCACACGGGCGAAGGTATCACGACGATACAGCCATAAACGTCATAATAATAATTATACTATTTATATTCGTCGTAATAATTAAATTAATATAATATTAACTACTAGTTTTTTATAAATTCTGCCATGTTATGACAATAGAATAATGTCTGTTTATAACACAAAATTGTATAGAGTAAGTCAAACTCGAGAACAGTTTTGATAATCGCCGTCATACATTCGTCCGTGTCAAGCGCCAAGTTAATATATTCTCAACAAAGACACAAGACAATATGTACCCATAGCTTTTTTGGTGAATACGGCAGAAAGTTGTATATGTTTAAATTGTATATTTCAATTGTATCGTAGTAGTTGTATTTCTGTGAGTGATATTACATAAAAACGTTTTGTATTACATTTTTTATTATGGGATTATAGTGTGTATATTTGTTTTTTAAATAATTTACAATTGTTTCAGTTGTCTATGTTTCGTAATTCCAACGAAGACTGCCCTATATTTAATTGAGATCTATTTTATATAATCTAGACACAAATATTTAATGCTAGTCAATCGAAGTAAAAATTAGTATTTAGTGAGCTAAAATATTTATGTTATCATTAACTTTGTTTTAAAACGTGAGGAAAATTTAGTCATTCCATATATAATTTTTATGTACCATAACAAACCAAATGTTTTGGCATTAGTATAAATCGTGTTTAGCTGAAAGTTGTATTTTTTTACTTTAACACTGTCAGTGTGTCGTAAGCTCATATAGACCTCTCTTCAGGTCAAGCCTAAGTGTGGCCCAGTAATGATTGATTGACTTCCGATACGCGTTTGAATTTCCTCGCAGATATGTACGACAGTAATTTTCTTCGTAAGATAAAAAAATACTACTTATTTATTAGTTTTCCCCTTGGGTAGGGAACTGGTGTCCAAACTAGGGTGATGCCATGTGTGTTGGATCACCAGGCCTCCGCCCCACAGACCACAAAAAATTGATATTCCTAACTACTTTCAACTAAAATTCGATTTAAAGTTAATGCATTTATATTGTATCCTTTAGCAGGCCTCAAATAGTATTTATATAATCATTCTCCAATACTGTCCCTCTGTAGTCACCCTGCATGATTATTGTAATATTGATACAGTATGTTATTTATTTAATAGTTGCATTGCATTATGATCCTGAAGTTTGAACAACTTTTATTATAAAAATATGTATTTAACGCTAGTCTGCGTACCATATCATTTTGAACAATCCGTTACCGAGGGTAAGCATAATGTAAGCGTTACGATGTTATTACAGATCTGTTTTTATAAAGCAAACAAAAAATGTTAGGAACTGTACGATGTGAACAAAAATAAAAAATACATTTACTTGATGCCATATTTTTATTCTCCTCTTACCTACCTTGTATCTTCAGCTTATGTCGCCGTCCTATCATGAACATGTCTGTAACTCGTCTAGGTAAATTATTGAATTGACAATTTTTTTTTCATTTCATAACCAAAAATAATTATGCCCAAATATCTTCTATTCTAACCTAAAATGAAGTCAATATTTTGTTGCCCATTACAAAAGGCCTAGCAAGAAAATTTCCGATAAAATGTACTCAGCGAAGTCGACATTTGTTAGATTTCTCGTTATAATTTATACTCGACAGGGTGCTGCAAAAATACAAAAACTCGAAGAACCGGATAAATGTACATATGTAAATCGAAAATCGAAAAATCCGATGTCGATTTGAACCCAGGACCTGCATTACAAGTCAAGGGCTTAGCCACTAAGCCACCGATGCTTTTAAGACTTAGTAAAACAATTTAATAATAAAATACACACATATCTTGAAAAGTATATTTGGTAAAAGCTGGAATGGAACATTAAATGCCTTAATTTACAAAGCAAACCCAGCAAATTATTGATTAAACATAAAGTTATATATATTATATATTTAAAATTAAATCGATAAAAATGTGCAAGTAATATATTGGCATTTATTGTATAAAAATTAAAATAAATTTCATAAAAATTATATCCTTAATGAATATAGTTATAATAACTTTAACTAACATGAAGCTTTAAATATTGTCACAAGTGAGTGGGATATTGTAAATTAAAACCTGTTTACTGTCATAGATAATTGAGTTTCCACTGTCAAAATAATCTAACTAATATTATAAATGCCAAAGTTTAGATGGATAGATGGATGGATGTTTGTTTGAAGGTATCTCAGGAACGAATAAACTGATCTCTATGAGATTATGCACAGGTGTAGAACATAGTCTGGAAGAAAACATAGGCTACCTATTAAGTTTTTTATAATTCCATGCAGATGGAGTCGCAGGCGACAGCTAGTAAATATTCCTATCCTTCTTTCTCTAAAAAAATACAACTTGTAATACAGATATTATGCCAGTGAAAACCCACAATTAGAAGCATAAAGGTTTGTGACAGAAATAGGAATAAATGCAAGTTTTACACTACACTATGGGTATAAAAGGTTTGTCCTAAATTTCAATTTGTTTAAAGACAGCATTAATACTAACATATCCTAGCTTTTTTTTCTCTTTAAACTTTTCTTTAATTATTGCTACTTCAATTTATCTGAATTACATCATGTAACACTTCTTTTAATCCCTAACTCAAACATTGAGTTGTTTATAAACATGTTTGCTAAATATTTCTTACTGAATATTTAAAACTTCATGCCTAAGCAATAATACTGAACTAGCGATAACAATAGTCTTAAATCATGGTGCCAAATACTGGGTTGTGTCTGCAAATACTTGGTCCATATTCCATATACGCTTGCTTAGTGTGACAGACCTGATAAAATTCTGGAGTAGAACCAAGCAGGCTACCTCCAAACCACACTGCATACCGCTGCATGTTGTGTGAGACTACTTGCACATCTATAGGCTTTGGTGTAATCCGACCTTCTGATAACATTGTGGACAATTTCAGTCTTGCATCAACTGTACGCTTAATATCTCTTTGCAGTCTCCTATCAAAGTCTCGGAACATCGTAGAACCTCCAGATAGAACAATATTTCCATACAATCCTCTTCTTACATCAATCGGACATGATTGAATAACGTCATCCACCATTTCATTAAGTGGTACAGTAAAATCTGCATTGGAAAACTCAGGATGGAAAAATATTTCTGGTCCTAAGAACCTTTCATATCCTACATCAACTGAGAATGGGTTTTTAGTTATAGCATTGATTCCAGTATATTTCTTCATCCATTTTGCAGGATCGGAATCATATTTAGCAAACTCCTTGGCAATGTCTGGACATATATAGCTATATCTTTCCTTAATAGCTTTTGCAGTTTCTAAGCTTTGCTCTGGTGGGATACCTACTTCTCTTTCACGAAGCAGAGATTGAATAAAAGATGTAATATTCCTGCCAGCAATTGGTATATGTTTGATACATGAGCCAATAACATAACCTTCAGCCACTGGGACAATATGTGTTACACCATCACCACTGTCCACCACTATTCCTGTAAACGTGCGTTTTGCACATGTACGAGACTTCCAAGAGGCGGCGAGAGCGAGTACAGCTTGAACAGCAATGTACAAACCTGGTACATTGAAAGATTCAAACATAATTTCCGCTAAATATTCTCGATTTTCTGGAGTATTTAATGGCGGCTCGGTAAGTAAGAAATGATGGTCTTCAGGCTCCGCTCTTAAGTACTTAAAAATACATTGCTCGATATACCGTTCCATGAGATCCCAATCTTCAACTAAGCCATGGCGTACAGGATATTTAACTGAATACCCAGTGGCATCGAACGCTTCGTCTCCAATAAAGAAATCCAAATCTTCCACCGCTTTAGTCATACGCCGAGTACTTTGATCGCCAACTTTAGCGGTTTCCTTTATCGCTATGGCTGACGGAATGATAAACTGGGGCTCTTTGTTACCGGCGAACCCCAATTTTGTGTATCCAGTCCCCACATCGATAACACAAGCCGGTAAATGATCACCCATAATTGGAATTATTTACTATGAATAGATATTTTAGAAATAAAATAATTTTGTGGGTGCGGCGATTTGACACTTAAAAACTTAAGTACAAAATAGAAATCATTAACGTATGACAAATACCAAATGTCAGTGAACGACGATGATTAATAAAAACGTTCCATTTCACGTAAATATTTTTTTGATTAAACTTTATGATAAAAAATTTACTTAATACATATTAGAAAAGTAACAAAATAAAAGTTAAAGGTTGGGGTGCAAAACAACAGTGATTTTAAAGCGCTGCGTCGTTTAAGAGCCGCCTATGGAGACTTTTATCGCGTAAAAAAGCGCCCGTGCAACTGAGGCCTACCAACTTGATTTTGCCCTACAGGATACCTCTTGAAACTCGAAAAAAAATCTTTTTCACTTAGTTTGATATATTTTATCTTATTAAATTATTCATATTATAAATTCGAATGTTTGGATGGAGATCCATCCATTCCAATCGATCCGGATTATCAGGTTAAAATAATACAATATGTTATAAGCAAATAAACAATATTTTATTGTGACCTGTCTCCTAATAACATATTTACAGAATATAAATACAGGAATGTGATTGCAGAGCAGAGTAAACAATTTTTTTTAATTTGTATGAAAAGTACCAACAATGTTTTTAATAATTATGTTGTTAGCAATAAAAAATACACATTCACCTATTAGTAAGAAAAGTTAATTTTAATTTTATTGTTTAAATTAATAATAATGTAAAATATTGAAATTACATATTTATGAAAATCGTTAGTTTGGACATACAATCTTCGGTAAATTGAATTGACAAATATTTTGAATACAGCATGGATAATTTAAAATGATAGATCATCTATTCTAATAGCTTTTAATATAATACTATATACCTATAAAAATAAACATTTTTTTATGTGAAGTATGTACTTCAAAACATTAACTAAACCTACTCTATAACTTGAGGATAACCAAAACGAAAATATTAGATATTTGTATAAATGAATTCCAGTTATAAATGATTAAAGGTTTAAACTACATTTTAAATAATTAATCAACACATATTTAAAGGAAAAAAAATGAGTTTATTTTACACTGATTAATAAATTCAGGTTTTACAGTATGAATCCAATCTAAGCATACCTAAATATTTTGCATAAGCAAATTTTAGTAGATGCAAGTTTTATGCACCTAATTCAAATATTACCAACATTTAAAGGCATTGGGTACACTTAACATCAATTTTAAAAAACACTATCAGTATCATAATTTCAGACTTATGTAGACAAACCACATTATATAAAAATCAGCTGATTGTCTCTGTTTTGATCCAATGGATAAGGATGTTTCTAGATTTCTCACCACATTGCATAATCTGAATCTTCCATGTCGAAAATTGTGAAGAAGCCAATGATAGTCAAGTAAACGATGACATTGCCCGCCAATGTCAGGTAGCAAGCGGGCCACAATATCTGGAAAAACAATAATAGGCACATTTTTTTCAAATCGCACACAAAATTTTACATTTATTAAGGTATAAGCTCTCGAATATTCAAAGCTTTGAAGAATTATCAATTACATTAACTTAAACAACATTTTATATTGGTTAGAATAGAACAAGACTAGACAAGTAGATTGCCTTGTCAACTCAGTATTTAAAAAAAAAAACTTTTTAATACTATTCACATAAAAATCTTACTTACAAAAGCAAGCATTTGGATTGATAATGGGATATTGCTGAAATTTGGCATCAATGTAGAACATAGCAGGGAGAACACATAGTTTATATATATAGTTTTTTTTAGTTCCGCGCGTCGCGGGACAGTTGATAGACTACATAATTCCAAGATTCAATAAACAAGTTCTGCATTTATTTTTTTAAAGCCCATTGCTGAATGTTTTGGTTTTTCCATTTGAAATCTCTTTTTGATAATGTTAATTGTACTACTTAATATGGATAGGACAATATTTAACTGTAACTCAAATGAAACACATATTATCTCGGTTTTTTTAAAGAGAATTTAAGAGATCCTAACATTTGTCAATACAATCGTCATTGCAGTAGAATCTCTATAAAAGTAAAAAGATTTAGTGTACAAACCACACTAGCTCGAGCCAGCACAATGGGCAGTGCAAAAGAGCTAACAATGATGCCCATGGTGATGAAAATAGCAGTCTCCATACAAGAGTTGTTGGTGCCCCCAGCACTATCTGTGTGGCGACGGGCAATCATTGTTGGGATGGGACATAGAATGTAGAAAATCACCACAAAAAATGGCCACCATAATCTGTAAAATATTAATTTCCATCAATTAGCTTATAACAAAAGTCAAGTACAAAAACTGACAACCTTTGTTTCATATCACATCAATTGTATTTTATTAAAAACAATAATTTAAACCAAAAGCTACTATATGAGTCAATTTGTATCTAAAAAAAATAAGCAGATGAAGATAGAAATATCTTTTGGAAATATAAGAATTTTTGCAGAAAACAATGAAATTTTATCAAGATTGTGATAAGTCAATCAAATATTAAATTTGTACAGGCAATTGTAACAAAAGAAGTGTTTAAGAAAACAAAAGAATGATATAAAACCTTTCACTTGAAACCAAAACATGCAATCATCATATCATTCTTCCAAATCAAAGGTTTGGGTTGCTATAACAAATTTTAACCTATGTCATATTAGTTTTTATGTTGTACTTACTTGAACTGAGGCAGAGCGCATGCCAGAATAACAAATGTCATACCAATGGAACCAGCAAATGCCAGGGACACCAAACTGTAAATTTATAAATATTTCCAAATAAACTATTACAAAATCACATAAGAATATACAAGTGTTAAATATGTTTATTATTTTCAGAATATTTCATGTTATGAAGTTAAGGATATTCAAATAATTTCAAATCTAAATTCTTATGCAAATCTCGTTTGCCATTGAAACATTTCTTTTCTTTTTATTAACATAAACAATGGATAATCTGTTCATATAATTTCCTATGCTTCTTCACAGATACCATGTTTTATTTCTCTAAGTATTTGTATTTTATACATTTGTTCATGAATATTTTCAAGGCCACTAAATGGCATTTTTCAGACTATTAATTTTAACAACAAACCAGTCGGTACCCACAACACATTTGCATAAAATATCTAGGACAGTATGAAAACATCGTTTTAGACTTTTTCACTTTCTACAACTTTGTACTACTGTGACGTGTTGTATTATAATTTAATTGTACTCACCCTTTAGGATTATATGGTCACAACATGAAAAAGAAAAAATTATAATTAGTAAAAGTGATTAAGAAAATTGTTTGTAAATATAAAGTATGACTCATTCTTGCACTGAAAGATCAATAAGTTTTAGTATTAAGATGTTTAAAAATCGTACCTTTGATTCCAGCCATTATTCTTAAACGACAAAATTAAGATATTCTTAAACTATAATAATTAATCACAAATGAATGAAATGCAAATCCAATATAAAAAACTTCAATTTCAATCTGTCTAAAATTAGCACAGACAGAAAACAAAATTTTATTAACACATATAGATTAAAAAAACCACAGAACCGACGGCACCAAAATTGGATCGATTACAATAATCAAACGACTATGTAAAACTAAAATAACGCAACATAACTATGAGGTGGATATTAAGAAACGTACAAAATTAAATCAATTTTACAGTTTTTATGCGTTTGTATCATTTGGGTATATTATACTTATGCATAATTTGAAATGTAATACCTCGATGACAGTTATAAAAAGAGACAAAATATGAAATGTACTTTTTTGCTTTAACTTAACCTAACCTTTAAATCTAAACATTTAAAATTTTAATAGAATTAGTAATTATACCTCGTCTTGGTGTAATTTTTATTTGAAAATATATACATTAATAACATTGAACAAATATGGATGATGATGCAGAAACATATAAACTTTGGCGTATTCGAAAAACAGTTATGCAGGTAAATATACAAATACAAAGCAAGTTTGTTGTCCAAAACATAACTCAAGCTAATAATTTCATAACCTGATGTTTATTTCACATTCATTTATTTACAGCTGTGCCACGATCGCGGCTATTTAGTTACTCAAGATGAATTGGATCAAACACTTGAACAATTCAAAGAACAATTTGGAGACAAACCAAGGTGTGTATATATAAATGTATTCATCTAGATCTTACCCAAATAAATTTTTGTAGTTTTTGATAACCCATTTACTAACTTGTTTAACTTCAGTTTTTCGTCTATATTTTCCATTTTATAGAATTTCTGATTTATTAAACTGGAAATTGATGTTTTTGAAGTTTGTTTTATTGTATTTTAACAATGTCAAAATACGAAGTTTGTCATGTCATATTATTGAAAAAGTTTATATAATTTTCATAGATAAAGTTATTATAATAGATTCTCTTTTTGTAATTGTGCGAAATACTCTTTATGAAATAGCATTAAAGACTAGGAACAAATTTGTAGTTCCTTTGACATTATGGATGTCCAGGGGCATTGGATAAGACACTTTTATTAAAAATTTGCTCATATTTCTATGAAACATTAATTTTTCAGTGAAAAACGACCAGCGAGAAGTGACTTAATTGTCCTTGTAGCCCACAATGATGACCCAACTGATCAAATGTTTGTATTCTTCCCTGATGAAGCTAAAATAGGAATTAAAACAATCAAGACTTATTGTACTAGAATGCAGGAGGAAAATATACACAGGGCAATAGTGGTTGTTCAAGCTGGTATGTTATCCTTTTAGTATTTTTTTTAACTTGTTACAGAAACTAAGGTAGAATTATCTGTGAAACATTTGTGTCTGTTCTCTATGGACCTATGTTATTTTATGTCGTAAATGAAAAATATAATCATTACCATAGAGTCTAGTAGATCGCAAAAAATTAGAGAATGAAATTGTATGTTTTTCTTCTAAAATATTTAAAAAATCTTTCAGGTATGACACCTTCAGCGAAACAGTCTCTTGTTGACATGGCACCAAAGTACATTCTGGAACAATTCTTGGAATCAGAATTGTTGATAAACATAACTGAACATGAGTTGGTACCGGAACACATTGTATTGACTCCCGATGAAAAGCAAGAATTACTGGCTAGATAGTATCCTTTTTTCATATATACCACTATTGACTACTCTCATGGTAACTAAAATTAAATTGATTTGATGACCTGAAGATCAGCTCACACTATGCATGTGTGATGCAGATCATTGAACTGGCTTGCAGATCAGTTAAATATTTACCTGCATAGTTATGATTGTTGTCTCTGCTATTTGCTGACTAGATCATGGCTCAGCTCATAGTAATAATACAATGTGTTGAGCTGTAGATTACCTACTCAGTTGTTGAGTTGTAGCTCAACAGTTCAAGCTTATGTGAGCTGATCTTTTGAACTGGTTTATAGCTGATCAAAAAATATAGACAACCTATAAAAGTAAGTAATTTGGTACTTTGCAGCATGCGCTTTTGGAAATAAAGGCTTTGTAAGTACACATTTCAAATTCACCTAATGTGTACTCAGAGTAATCATTTTACGTTTAATGTGTTCAATACTTAATTGTGGAAATGAGTAAAGAATCATTGTGTTAACTATTACTAGTATGTAATTTCAGTTTTCATAATGTTGATACATTCTTTAACTCTTAAATCAGTAAATTAAAAGAAAACATGTTGATGAGAATACAAGCAGGTGACCCTGTAGCGAGATACTTTGGACTTAAGAGAGGACAGGTTTGTAGTTTTCTTTAGTATTGTAGTTTGAAGGATGCAGTCAAGCCAGGATAAGCGAGAAACTTCTATAATCGAGAGTCATTCTCCAGTCCCGAAGGAGAACCAACTGTAGCTTTTGTGTGTCTAGATAATAGATGTAAAGAATTGTCATAATTATTGTTATCTTGCCAACTATCTTGCTTGGCCAATATTTACTTAAAACTAATTCTGCTATATATGAGAGTGGTAGAACCCGCTTTAACATCTTCGCACGAATTGGCCAGGTTCGCCCGGTGAAATACCACCACCACACAGAAAACAGGCGTGAAGTGGAAGCAATTCCGCGTTTCGTCTGATGAGTGTGCGTCCCGGAGGCCTAATTTAGTCCTCTTTCCTTTCCCATCCTTTTCTTATAAGGAAAGGATGGGAAGTGGAAGTGGACTTTCCGGATGAGAGGATGCATGGAAAGGGAAAATATTTTCTTTCTGTGCATCCTCTCCTCCGTCGATTAAAGGTAGGCAAAGCATATGCAATTGTGTATGTCTATGGGCAACGGTCACTTCGCTATTTCAGCGATTTCAGGTGGCCGCTCGCTCGTTTGCCACCTTATGATATAAAAAAAAAAAAGAAAAAGAGCATAATTTTTTTTATATTGTTGCATTATTACTCTAATTTTGACAAAATGAAAAGGGAAGAGAACAATAACTTTTATGTTGTTTGTCAATTTATATATTATTTTATATTTTATGATTGAGTTGTAAAAATGTATGTAATATTTTTGAACTTTCAGGTGGTGAAAATTATCCGATCATCAGAGACAGCTGGGAGATATATCTCCTACAGATTAGTTTGTTAAGATTATTGATAAATATATTCCATATTTTATATAAAGTTTGTTTTATTGCTTATTACCCTATATTTACAAAAATCTAAATGCCAAAATGAAATGGCCATTGTTTGCATACATATGCTAACAGATGTCGCTGTTTTTAACTATTAAATTACTAAAGGCGTTTAAAGTTTTTACTTATAATAATACGGCTGTAGGTGTAGATATTCGTATTTCATGATTTTAATTAACGCTATTATTATTATTGTTCATAATGTTGAGATATTTAACATTTCTTAGTGTTTATCATATACAAAACTATAAATCTTTTTCTCGCTGCACCAACTGTCGTACTCAGAGTGTGTTAATGGCCAGTTACATACTATTTATAAAAATGGAAAGAGCTAATGCGTGCAAGGATGTACTGAAATCTTGATATGTAGACGTGCGTGTAAAAACATAGTCTATTGTACATATAATGTTGTGCTCTGTTCACACGTTAACCGCGCCTCGTCCGCACAAGTCGGGTAAACAATCGCCTTGTAAACTCCGCGATAAAATACATCACAACAATTTACAATTGAATTTTGATCGACGTGCGCTCGGGATTTTGCACTTTCGCGAGAATCGACGGACCCGTGTTGTGGTTAAGACGTGCGATATAATCATTGTTTGTGATGTAAACGATACCTTGAAAATCGATTATGTTCTCGATTATCGATAATCGTATAGGTATCGATTTTGATGTAGTGTGTTCATTTTATTTTGTTTCTTTGAGACATTTCTTTTGATACGATAGGAAACACAAGAAATTTTAGAGGTAAGTTTATAAAAGTATCTATTAATTTATTAGATGGTTATGGTAAATAAAACTCATACTTCTATCAGATAGCTAAATCAGTTAATCAAATTGTATAGTCATTGTTTATTAAGGTTAGTTCTTTAATTTATTGAAAAGGGCTTTGTCGTAATGTCACTATACTATCTCGCATATATTTTTATTAATAATAAAATCTATTAACTAATTTTCTAAATTACTTCTTAAAAAAAAATCTGCCAACAAAGCTTACAACGATCAATTTCCTGAACGTCGAAATACTAATTTCATAAAAATCTTACTCTAGAAGATTATATGACTGAATTACCATTGAATAATATATTTTTTAATATTAGCAGATTTTTGTTTAATTATATTTTTTTCTTGTACTCTTTTAACTAAGCTGTAGGCTAGTATATAGCTTACAATAATATTCAACTCTCCGGATTCGAACCTTCGACTACGTGATCAGAAATCTGTGCCCTTATGGTTCGAATGGGATAAACACATTATAAAATTTATTCATTACTAGCTGTCGCCCGCGACTCCGTCCGTGCGGGATTAAAAATAGATGTTGGCCGATTCTCAGACCTACTTAATATGCTCACAAAATTTCATGAGAATCGGTCAATCCGTTTCGGAGGAGTATGTGAATGAAAATTGGTACACGAGAATTTTATATATAAGATACTAAAATAACTTACGCTATTTTCATTTATCTACAGTAAATTATATTGGTTAAAAAACGAGTTCCATCTAGTAAAAGTATGTATGTTTCTAGTATCATAGTGAATATTATGTTGATAATAACATAGGAAATCTATACCTTATGTACTTCCATGTCAAAGTTCCGAGGATCCAAACTAAGGTAAGTCGGTTCAATAGTAATTTTATGCAAAATCACATGTAAAACACATTCGCATATATTATAAACAACTGTTATCCGCAACAGTAGCATTTTACGATGTATACAGAAGTACGGCAGATGTGAAATTCTTTCGTAGAACAAACCTGTTCGGAGAACTAGGATATGCGAGTGTTTAATTATAATATTGTTGCACATTCCGTTTTCCTGTCATTCTCTTCTTTGTATACTCATTACCTCGTTAGATTGCTGCATCTCATCTATA